CAATCAATACTCAACAGTTTATGACTTAGAATTATGTAGCAGCCACCTCTTAGAAATTTTTGCCCGCTCTTCAGTTCTTCGCATCCAAAAAAAACGTATGAAGGGGAATTTGTAAAAAATTCGTTTCTCACATGCTTCAGGCATAATATTACATGAAATAACATAAAGGTTGTTCACCTCCAACCTTTTTAAGCTCCAAGATTATATTGATCGTATTGCCAATGCAAATAACTGTTTTAAAATTGGAATGAAACAATAATATTGAACGCAAAGCTTGAATAAGCCTCAATGTGTTTTTGGAAATGTGAATTTTTAAATTTTAAATTTATTTTTGCAACCTCTCGAGTGATTTAATTATGCGATCAATAATAATGCGTTTGTTATTCTAGGTAAAGATGTAATTATAGACTGTTTTAAAAGGATTTCTAATGAATCGTTGAAATAGAGGGTACTTTGAGCGTACTTTATTTCAGATAAATTGAGAATACACACACATTAGTTATAGATAATTTGCGCAGCATGTAAACTTACACTCAAAACCTGGAATAATCAGTAGTGGTTAGACATAAACCGAGGAGCATACAAGAAAAGACTGATGACTGTTGATGAAGCGAAAGACATGTAAGAATCGTAGCAATTGGGGTTCCGTTGTCTCTGGCTATCAATACGAGAGACGAGCGTATGTATTATATGTATGTATAACAATGTTTGTGATTAAACCTACATGTTTAGAAAATAATTTGAGCAATTAACCATAAAATTTACACACCTACCAATGTTGAACCTAAAATTATTATTCTACTCAAATATTGAAAGCTATGACCGTTGCACCAAATACGAACCCATATATATGAACATTTAATTTAGTTCATAATACAACCTGTTTACAAGTCAACAACATATTCGCATCCGCTCAAAATATAAAGCGTAAACTCAATTACAGTTCGGTGTGACAGTCGGCCGCGTAGTAACAAATTCGTCGTTTCGCGGTACAATGCCCGCTTAATTACAAACGCTAGAGTTGACATGCGTATTACTTGCGTACCGCGTACCCGCGTACTACGCGAGATTTGCCAGGCAAACAGGGTTAGCGTAGTCGTATAGAGAAAGTTTTGAACGAATTTCTAACATGTTTTGGTATTTCTTGAATTGTTGGGGAATGTGAATTGTTTTTCATTGTTTTGACCGAGTGTGATGCTTTACGATTTAAGGTTCGGTTCCTGGATTTATAGGCTTATTTTATGTTTTTATGTTAGACTTAATGTTTGACATTTAACAACCAATATTAGTACTTTAAACTAAACTTCGTCTCTGTCTACCAAATAATATATATTACCAACAAAAATATATTAAATATTCCTTTCCATTTATTTCCCTACAAGAATACGAAGCTTAGAATCTCGAATTTTATGTAACACCGAAACCAATATCTCAGTTGACGACATCCAAATAATTCCAAGAATGGAATTCCTAGAAATATTCCAGTGCTATCCAACCCTAGAGCTGTACTTAATTATTTCTTGAGAATGGAGTACGAGAGAGGCGTGGAGATGAAACTGACAGTGAGACGATATCTTCTGAAGATTTTGTTCTACATACATGTAGGTATGAAAAGTATAATCTTACTATTATTATAAATCGGAAAGTGAGTTTGTTTATTTGTTAATTCCGATTTCACGCCGTAACTACTAAACCGATTGCTTTGAATTTTTGCAGACGTAAAGTTAGAAGTCCGTATTAAATAATAGGGTACTTTTCATCCCGGAAAAATGTGATATTCCCGTGGGAAAACAAAAGTATTGGTATAGATGGCGCTGTGTATATTGATATATGTCACATAGGCTACTTTTTATCCTTTTGTGATGCGAGCGAAGTCGCGGGTAAAAGCTAGTAACGTTATATAGCCAATGAAGTCCTAATAGTTAATAGTACAATTGTAGATCGTCGAGGATTGAAATTAAATTTGTAATCCGTATAAGTAGTTTTTAAACTGTATTTCGCTTTTTAGGTGGTAAAAGGTGAGTCCATTATTTATCATTAGTGCTGTTTTAACTCTATTGTAATTAGACAGCAAGCGTACTGCTAAATACCAAGATCAAAATCCAACAAATTTTTAAAGTTAATCCAAAGACACCATGACTTTCTCTCCAGAAGAAAACAGGCCTAATATTATGTAATTCATAAAAATAACTTTTGTAATCTAACTTAGAAGATTCATAATAAGCCAATCGGAATAGGGGCCCGTTACAATATCGGATTCAATGCTTCATATCGTATGAATTGACCCTACCAATCGAGAACTCGTATAAAACTATTCAAGCTTAAACATCCAAGGGTTCCGTGATAAAAATATATCGGTTTTAACCCTTAGAAAGTAATAGTTACGGGACGAAGTAGGTTTTGCTATTAATGTCAACAATGAAGCGATTTTTTTAGGTTATGTTGGGAAATATTGGGTTATTCAAATCGGGGTTTTATGGTTTTATGTTATGGATAGTAAATAATAGTAATGGAAAGAAAGGTGGGTGAAATATTTGGTGATTATGCGATATGTAGGGGAGAATGGAAAATGGAACCGGTGGGAATTAGCAACTCGGTGGGAGTTGGTAAAAGGCATAATACATAAACGTCATGTCTATTGTTCTCATATGCGAAGCCCAGAAATTATAATGTCACATTCACTCCCACTTGCTGCCAAACAAAAATATTATATTTTTTGGATACGCAGCTGTTGCATGTAGGTGGACAGCGCCATAGTATTTGTTAGATTTGTTCATGCGATGTTTTTTGATACAAAACCAGTTTAGCAATAAATAGACGCAGATAGAATACCTAAGAGATCTATATTCAACAGTTATCGTTATGTGGCTAACAATATGATTGGTAATGATAAATCGGAATCAATCGGCGGTATCTGCGAACTGCTACGACCTTCAAACCTTCAAGAAAAGAACGTATTCCTTCTTAAAAGGCCGGCTACGCACCTGTGACTTCTCTGGTGTTGCGGGTGTCCATGGGCGGCGCTGATCGCTCACCATCAGGGGACCCGCTCCTATTTTTTTTAAAAACGTTGCTCCACACTAGGATTTTCTGCTGTGTCGTGGGTGCGTTTACAAACATACAAATTCATATTTCAATTTTCAATTCATGGACCATACTAAGTGTTGGTCCGTGCGGGAATCGAACCTGCGGCACGCTGGAAGGCAGCCTGTTGCCAAGCCACCGCACCAACCATGCAGCCATATTCCATAACAAAAATTCCAAATCACTAATTCATATTTTTTATTGTTTAATCTCGTCAAATCCATAACCCCATATCCAGCAGTCGTAGTAGCAACCACGGAACAAATAACAATGTTTTGTTTAGAGTTAAACATAATTAATGGATATTTCGCGAATAATACAATTAAGTCCCCGTGAGTTCTCCCCTAAAACACAATATTAATCATTGCTCACGAAACGATTTATCAAAATTCAACCAAAAATGCGAGCACAGACAGTATGCTATATATTTTTAAACTCAATGATGTACTATGTAATTCCACGAACAAATGATATGACTCCCAAGATGGAAACCATTTTAATATTTTTTGTTAAGGAACCCTTATTAATAATACGGAACCCCGTTTCGGGGTTAATGAACTCTCCTCGAAGGCAATTTTCCTGTACAGTCGTTCGGAAAAGTGTTTCTTTGTGGTAGAAAAAAAAATTATAAGTTTCTTTTTTTGATCATTTTCAGTATCTTTGTTGGGAATGAGAGAAGAAGATTTTTTTAAACAAAAGAGGTTTTGTTGTGTGTCAAGGGGTGAAAGATGATACTATTGAGTACTTCATATTGTTTTTATATTACCTCGTACCTCTCAATGTTCTCTTGAATAATATATTCGCGTGTGACGTCGATTCGCTCGCTTTTTGAACGATTTTTGTGTTTGTCTGTGATATGATGATATGATTGATATTTCCATGATAGGGTCAAATAAAATTATAATATGATAACTCACATCATTTTAGGAAAGTCAAAGAAATAAGAATACTTCAATGTTTAAAATAAAATATAAAAAAACAAAACTAATAACTTCATAAATCAACACACATTACATTTAAAGACTTCTACACAATAATATAAGTACACAGTAGCTAGCCATTTAAACAAAAAAGAAAGGAATATATCAATACACAAAAAAATACGCACACACTCGTATAAAATATACAATAGTTGTAGTGTTCGCCTGTACACAGTGACGTCACTGGTGTTTTCTCTCATAAATCATTATTGGCGATTTGTTTACCATCGTACTACAACAGTACCGAACACGTAATTAATCATTACAACGAAAATTAGTCGCGGTCTATGGATACCAGAATAATAACTGGCTTAAGACACTCCTCTTATATTTATGTCTAACCTTTCTGGGTCATGAAACCTTAGCAGATTTCATTCAACCAATATGGGCAATGGGCAATTTGCATTGGGTCAATTCATTTGGCAAAGTATTACTGGTTATTTTTTAAAATTCTCAGTAGTAGCACGGCGTCTGAAATTGTGCCCGGTATATGGCAATAAGCTCACCCCCTATTACACGGGACTCATAACATAAATATTGCAAAGTGGGTGTTACATTGTACAGTGGCATTAAGTGCCGTAATGTGCACTTCTGCCTACCCCTTCAGGAATAAAAGGCGCATGTTATGTTCATTGGTTCAGCTCTCAGATCTGTCATGCCACCTGCTAAGTGTATAAGTAGTAAGTCCTGTCGTAAGTTTTATGTATGATAATAAAGAAGAGTAAGATATCAAAGAGATATGGAACCTCTATCATCTGAAGATGTTTAAGCGCTATCTCCCATTCAGGGACTTTGTATATATTTTATCATTAAGATAAAGTCAAGAGTAAATCTAGATTTTCTCATTGCAATATTAACTGCCAAAACTTTTATTACTCCAATTCCCGTATAACTCTTCAATACTGAAAAGCTTGACGTTAAAATTTTCTTTCTCAGATCCACCCGGAGCTCCCTACATCGAAGGTTATGCTGAAGGTGAGACAGTCCGTCGAGGGCAGAGCTTGGAGCTGGTCTGCAGAAGTCGAGGTGGAAACCCACCAGCACAACTCATCTGGTACAAGAATGGGGAGCAGATTCGTATGGCTTATAGGTAAGTGAAAAAATGTTATAGATGTTTTTTTAAACTGGTTAATTAATCATGTGGACGAACAACCGACGATGGAGCACGCCTACCTATGAGCAACCTGTTCACTCGGGACTTGAAGACACCCAAGTTATATTTGACGGGAAACACAGTTTTCTGTCGGCAGTCAAACTGTTAAGCAAGAGACCTAAACATGCCAAAAATATGGCATGTTGTGAAGACTAAATGCTCTTTTCTTATTCTAATGAAGTCTGAAATCATCTACCAAAGTTACGTTCCTGTTTAGGAATAGTAAAAGTTTTAACCTGATCATACTAATTATCAAAAACAATGTAGTATTCATGTTCCATATTAGAAGCTCTAAATTTTCTTAGACAATATCTACAAGTAAGGCAATCAACAAAACCATTGCAGAAATCTAATTTCAGGCATTCCTAAACCGACTTAAGCCCACACACACTTTGATTTATAATTAAAAAAGGGTACGATTAAAAAACCTCAAAAGATATTAAAATCTTTGGACGCTCAGAAAAGAATGTAATTACACGAAATGTAATTAGTGAACATACTAATTAGAATCTAAGTTTAATTAGATTTTTTTGGTGAAAATGAATATTTAATTTTGAGCTGTAATTTGTTTTGTGATATTAATGTTAAGTAGAGTGCTTTTCGTTTTGTACTCACTAATGAACTAAGTACTTAATTTTTATATTATATGCAGGTTTTTTTTGTCCATGGTACCCAGTATGACATTCTAGTGTAAATACGTCATTGGGATATACAATAGGTGAAGGATCCGATAATGTGTAAATAAGCCTGAAAAACGTATTTTTTAAAAGAATAATGATGGGTTTTCTTGCTCGTTCTTCTCCATTCGAAACTATACTTTGGAATGTGCGCCTAGCTTCACTGCCAGACAAACAGATGAACAATTAAATTTTTGACGTTTCAAAGTGCTAAATAAAATTAATTAAGTTAAATAAGGATTAATTGTAATAATGCTTTCATTTTGACTTTGACTTTCAAATCGAATAAAATAATATCTAAAGGGAATTTAGATATTTGATATTTTATAGGTACGATTGTACAAAACGTGGTTATACTATTTGTTTGTATGTCACTTTTCCTTTAAATAAATGAGAGACTAAATATTTGTTATAAAAGTAGTCATGAATATAACGACAACGTGAAATATTAACCTTTTACATTAAAGCATAAATCTCTACGTGCGCCCTCAAAAGCCTGATTCCTGAAACCTACTTAAACAGAATCAGGCTTTTCAAGATTTTTTTCACGGCCTTTTCAGTACGTAACCGCGCGAAAGTGTGGCCTACATAAATATTTATATGGAAGTACTGAAAAATTCAGAGACGCGAACATCGAACCCGCTTCCGTTGGCTGAAAATCAATGCGAGTACAGCCTTTAGTAAGTTTTCAGGCGTGAAAAGCGTGAAATAGTGTCGTTTGTATTAGTTACTATGTTTTCGAATAGAAATTCTCTTTCGTAGTTTTATTTGTTGGGTTTGTAGCATACATTCTCTAAACTGTTAACAATACTTTTATAATAATAATAGTGTTGTATAAGAAGCGGACTAATCCACTTCACTAAAATTATGATGTTAACCTGTGTGTAATTAAGTCGCACACAACCTTAAAATACGTCCTTATCTTTTTACTCAACAAGCTACGTAGAGAAAAAATATGTTCATTCTTTTTTATTGTTGGCCCTCCAAACGATGATATCGCCAAACTTTTCAGACCTTCGCGTAGCACTTTAGAAATCGACAATCCAGGCAGCTACTTAAAAAATCGAACTTTACAAAACATAACAAAATATGTAACAACAAAAAATTGTCATTACATTTTCATAAAATCTGCTGAATAACACCGTTAAAAGATTTTCAATATAAAGTATACAATGCGAAGGGAAACTGGCAAACTCAGCTTTTTGCCTATAAAAAGCCTCCCCCTACCCCTATTTGGGGGATCGTATTAAGCTGGCAACAGATAGGGCGTATGTCCTCATGATTTATGTAAGCTGAAACACAGTGATGGGACACGCTTATCGATAAAATTGTAAATGTACGGTTTTTTGTCTGGAATCGGTAACAAATAGCAGATTCATCACAACTAGGTATCGATAAATAAAATTGATAAAGTGTTTGCTACACAGGTCACGTTTGTTCATCTTGTTTAGTGCTGTCTCTGTAAAATATTACGCACGATTATCTATTCCATATGTATGGTAATTTTAAGTTCTTTGATTTTTTATACACGGTCGTATTCAATCTTAAGTGATTTTCTAAAAATATCTTTGATTACAAATTCTAAACAAATACAGCAAAACATATCTCAAATGTCAGTTATCGCAATGAAATAAATATTCCAACATCAAAGCTAAAACTTTCAATCTAACAATTTCCTCGTTCAGTTAACTTTAACATCAAGTTGAAACAATAAAACGGATTATATCGTTAAAACTATCGACAAGATCTTATCGACTATTGCACGTAGCGTGCACCCGTCACTTATAAAATTGTATTAAGACGTGCCTACAGGCGACGGAAACTGATTTATGGGCCTCACTAACTGCACCCGCTAGTGATGCGACACATATCGATAAAAACATAAAAATGCTGTATTTTAAGTTAGAATTGCATTTCGTTTCTACGAGTTGTGGGAATACTATTGAAACAAATGGAAAATCAATTTTACGAGTAGTGCTCGTTACATTGTAGAATGGATTGCTTTCTTTGTGTTGAGAATGAATATGAAATGAGATCTTAAATACATTAACATTAGATTATAATTTACAATAATGCAGCTGATGGTTTTTTAATACTGATCAGACTTATTTGATTGTAAAATAATGTTTAAGATTTTAATTTAAGTTATAAATTAGGTATCATTGTTTTTTGTAATAAAAGCAAAACTTATTTTATTTCATTCATAATTTAGTGTAGTGGTAATCAAAAATTTATCGATAGTTTTCTATGAATCTAAAACTAAATTATCGAGTCCGATTAATGTCGATACAAATATAAATGTTTGCTAAATATAATTGGGTTTATAGTGGAGTGGAATCCGGTATAATTAGATAGCTCCATAAGTAACAAAGTAAATATTCATTAACATCAGTTTAATTGAAATATTTCGTGAATTGTTTGACAATTTGTTAGATATTGTCTGTTTTATGAATGCGGCTTTGAATTGATTAGCAATTGGATTATTTGTTTGAATTAGAATTTGTATTATTTGAATTTAATGGGTATGATATTAGAGTTTTAATTTGATTGAACTGTTTGTGAAATAAACTTAAGGTTACTTTAGTTTTAATGCTTTTCATTGATTAATTTTACTTGCTTTTTGTAAATGAATCTGCTAATTAACCTTGTTGTAAAATGAGGTTTATTTGAAATAAAACTGTTTAATATTTTTCATTGAAATCACTGGACGTATAATATTACAAATTTAATAACGTTTCAACTGTATTCATTGTTTCCAAACCTGCTCCTGATTTAAACATAAAACATTAGGTAGCAAAACTTTACGTACTAGTGCTTAGTAAAATAAAACAAATTTGATTTTAGTAGCACCAAAAAGGTCGCTTCCATTTTGTATCGCTTAGGATTCCGCGAAGCGGGTAATGAATAAAAAGCATAGTTAATTATAACAACGACCAGTACATCAAACAGAAAGGAGGTCAAAGAGAAAAATATAAACACTTTTCATTATACAAAAAGTTTTTTTTTTCCATCCTGACCTAGACAGAAAGTTAGTGAAACACAAGTACTGCTGTAGATCCTCGAGACCAATTACATTAAATACCTTTACGAGGGCTTCTTTTTGCTTCTACTATAAGCATGACAAAAATATTTGTTAGAAGTTCTTGGCTGTCAGTTTGTTTGCATAGTCAACGTAGTTATAGAATAGACTGTAGAGTCATTGAAACTGGTTTAGTCGTTTAAGAGTTGAAGCGTAACTAACCAAAAGATATGGTAAACCGTTATATTTATTACCTATATCATATTCAGTACATGCAATTCGAAAGTAAGTGCAAAATAATCCAACTATTAACCATTATAATGTCTACTATTAAATCAATATTTTCCATAAATTGCAACTTATGTGCGTTACTCGCAACATTATGAATTGATGCAACATTACAAAGCACAAACACATTTCATATCAAACGTTAAACATTTCCATTCGCAATGAAAATAAAACGCGATCCAATCTCATACATGCAGAGATTGGAAACAACAAATCAATGATTTATTAACAATGGAATCCCAGACATTTCGCTAACCTAGCGGAAAATAGCCTTATCGCGTTTATCGATAATCAATTCCCGGCACTAGTGTTAAAAAGTGGCCGTATCTCGATAATATTTTACTTTTTCCCTTCACTTTTTACCTGACTTAGACTGTAGTCTGTCGATTTATTTAGTCCAAAGAATTTATGAGAAAATTTTCTTTATTCATTTACCTTTTTTAAAAGAAAAGCTGGTTATTTATTAGTTTCATAGTGTAGTCGGAGCTTAGAAGTATAGGGTGTTCCTGTTTCTGACGTGAAAAGTTTTATTATTTTAACGCGAAGATAGGCACTTTCTCCCTTTACTTTGGCAAATTCGTTTTCTAACTTCAGCTTTGCCTGGGACTTTTAAAAGGAATGCCTGTGTCTTGAAGTTCAAGTAAACGTGACAGGGTTTGTTTTGTTCCTTATTATTGTTTGTAGTTTAGAATGTGAGAGTCATTGTGACAGTTTGCCGATGTAATCAATTTTGGCGATCGTTTTGAGTCGGTTTTGATCGATGTGTGTTAGAAGAAAATGTGTTCGTTTTTAATATGTTAATGATTTTTTATGTTGATTTATTAACAGTTCCGATTAAAGAAACAGTAACTGTTAGGGCAAGGCTTCAAGTTTGATAGTCATATTATATTTTTGCGTGTGTATACAATTTCGGGTATTTTAAGTTCCAGCATGAACTATAAAATTTTAAAAGT